ACCGGGGGCTGGCCCACGTTGGGGCGGGCGGACCGGGGGAACCGGCTGCCTTGCCTGCTCCGGGGCGGGCAGGGTGCCCGGCTTTGGGGTGCCGGGGTGCCAGGCTGCTTCAGTCCCTGGGGGAGGGCTCTCCTCTCCTCGCAGCAGGGGCGTGTGTGCGGAAAGCTTTGCGGTGAGCGGGCTTGTCCCCGCAGGAGCCGGAGTGGAGGGGATCCAGAGAAACGTGGGAAACTTTTCATGCTTTGGGAGGAAAGGTTTGGCTGCGGGGATCTTAGACCACCTTATGCCTTGAGGAGAGTCTCTGCGCTTCGCTTTTAATGAGTTAGAAGTTGATTTGCCTTCCCAGTCTCGTCGGCCAAGTGTAGGCAGGCTCCGAGGAGAACTTTTGAGTTTTTCTCTGGTCGTGGGAAAATGAAAAACTGTAAAATGTGTCTCTGGGGTTAGTCTGGGAACGCAAAGGCTTATTTTTATGCCTTCCTCTTCCCCTCCGGTTCAAATCAGGTGACAATGTTTACTGAGCCAGAGGTGAAAGTCAGGTAGAAGACGTGGTGTGGTCTGTGCCAGGATCGGGAATGGCACCACAACTCCTCGGCGAGGGGAAGCTGCAACTTTCCTGCTGCTGCGCGTACAGCTACAAACCAGCTTCGGTTTTTACCTCTTTTCTTTTTTGATCGCTTCAAATTTCAACCTTAATCTTTTTCCTGGAGGATTTTTCAAAGCTTTTAATGTTCTTGTCTCCCACTGGGACTGATGAAGAGGTCTGTCCTGCTCCCAAAGTCACTGGGCATCCATATTTGTTTGAGGGTTCATTCCCTGATGAATAGTGGCATGCTCCTGTGGATTTTGTTTTGCAGTAGAAATTTTAGTGGTGTTTGGTAAAATTTCTCGTTAGACTGCATATTAGCTCCATTTTCTCCCTCTGACGTTTCCTGTCATCTTTGGAATTGAAGGCTTAAAAGCTAGTCAGTGCTGAGAGAATTAAAAAAAGGAACAAGTGTCCAGACCTTTGAAGGGGCAACACTGTGACAGTGTTATATTCAGCCATACCTTCTGGCTGATAAAACACTGCCCAGGTAGCCAAATTGTCTGGCTGCTTTGCATCGGACCAGATAGGAACATGGAGAGGGTAAGTGATGCAAGTGCAGAACATAAACCTTGCAGAGTCCTTTTTCTACCTCCCAGAGTTATGTTATCACCGGGAGCCATATGCTGTTTATAATCTCAGCTGTGCTTATCGGCGTGTAGGGCTTGTCTTTCCTCGTAACATCCGACCGCCTCGGTCCCTTTGTATTTTGATAGTTTTAGAATTTCTCTGATTGAGCCGTGACTTGTGAATCTGTTTCTGGTTAGCGTTGCTGTAATCTCTTCTGAGATATTAGTTGCTGCGTGCAGTCCCTCAGGGAGAAAGGAGTGAGAAATCGGAGAGAGGTCAGCAAACCTGAGAATGCCGGAGGATGTGGGAGAGAGCTGTAACTTGGCCTGAAGTATTTACTTCTGAGTGATGATGATGGAAGGGGGTTGGCATATAGATTTGCTGCTCCCTGGGGCTGTAAATATCCCATGTGGAGGAGAAGGCCTTTGAAACAATGGGATCATTTAGGGGAGGGAATGCTTCCTGCAGTCAGGAGCCCCGTTTTCTGTCTGGGGTGCTTAAATCTAGTTTGCTGCAGCGTGGATGGGGAGATGGGCAGGGTGACCTTATTTCCAGCTGTTGAAGCAGAAAGTCTGGTTTGATCTGAAGGCAGTTTCTCCTGGACCTGACCTTTTTGCTTGGATAAACAGATGGGTTGATTCTGGGAGAGCAGGGCTTGCCCTTCCCCAGCCAGGGACGTGTGTCATGCAAGCCTTCGGAGTCTTGCACTCTCCATAACTGCCACCGCTCACGGTAAAACCCCAGAGCCTGACTGCCCCACGGATGAGCTGGCTCTAGGTACTCCCTGCGTGTTTGCTTGTACCTCTTCCGCGTCTCTACCGGCCTTTGCCTGGCTTTGGTTCACCTGCTTTCATCCCGCAGCCGCGTAGAACGCGCTAACTGTCCCTGTCTGTCCCATGCTACGCAGTTGGTTGTGCGGCTGCTCCAGCAGTCTCCTGGCAGCATGTTGCACGTTCTCGGTGTGAGCGGGGGGCAAATAGCTCAGCCTGACGCTTGGCTTGTTGCCTCGGTAGATGGCTCTTCCCGATCATTGGCCACATGGGTATCTGCACGTCGACCGGAGTCATTCGGGACTTTGCGGGGCCGTACTTTGTCTCGGTAAGTAGATGATGGATCCAGGTGCTTAAGCAAAATCTGCTCTTGGTCTAGTTCTCACCTTCAGTGGTGACTTTTGAGCCATCCCCTGCCATCTGCAGCTTAAAGTTCTGCAAAGTAATGGCTTTAGATGTTTCTGAAGATCTTTGCTATTACTCTGTGGGCCACTGCCCAGTGGATGTCATCTGGGGGATATGATAGGCAGTGGCTAGCTTGGTTTAGTGAGCAGAAGGGAAAAAAATCCTGTGGACCTAAATTCTCTTACAGTAGTCTAATTCTGAGCAGCAGAAGTTGCCTTCCAACTTCCTCAGCATGCATGTTACTGTCATGCTGCTTAGCATCAGGTATGTGCCAGTCTTCTAAACTGCTTTGTAGTCAGGGGAGTTTTAAGTTGGGATAATTAATGCTCTTAATAGAGTGGAACATTTACAACTTTGAGTTAACAAGGTATTAACAGTTAAAAAAATAAAGGAGGGGGAACAAGGTACTTACACCATACAGCTAGATGATTGCACTGTGTCTAGAGTATAAATATAGTCATGCCCAGAACAGGAATATGAAAACAATTGAAATCTAAATCCAGACACACAAATAAGATTGGTGTCTTGAGACTGCTGAGGCAATGTGACAGTTTTATCACTAAGCGATCGCGGGCTGTGTGAGACCTTCCAGCAAGAGGCACGTCATGAATATTGTGTGGGTTTATCCTCTTGAGACGTTTTTCCTTTTTTGTAGGAAGACAACATGGCATTTGGGAAGCCAGTGAAGTAAGTGCTCTTGTTAGTTTTTATTAAAGGACGTCTGCAGGTCAGTTGGTTAGTTTAATTCACGGAGACAGACGTGCTATAATATTGCTTTTCTTGTTGTTCAGATGCCCTAATTCAAGTGGATGGTTACTGTGTCTCTGCTTTTCAAGAAACCACGTTAAATTAAATCTTTTTAGAAGTGTGACAGCAATGTAATGGTATTAATAACTAGAGTCTTTATTAAAAATAAAGGAAAGGCTAAAACATTTTAAAAGAATGTTAACAAGTGCTCCAAGTAAATACTGCCCGTGCTGTACTAATGAACTGTCATCACTCGCATCCTGTTAATGATTTTCTTGGGGAAGGAGGAGAGGTGTCTGGGTTTTGTATATCTGTCAGATCAAGTTTACGTTTTGAATGGCCGGAAGGTTTCATATCGCAGGACGTGAAAGCAGTTCAGAGTTTTGTCTGTGCCCCTGAGGTCTGTGGTTTCTCTCTCTGGAGTGCTGAGGGTGCTGAGCAGTAGTTCCTGCTGCCCACTGCAGCATATACTTGTCTTGAGGAGCTCAGCTCCGTGGACTCCAGAGGTAGTGGATTTCTGTAAAGCCTTTAAGCATTTTCCTGCTGGGAAGAACAAGCAGCTGTGAAGATGCAGCAGTAATGTGAAGGGATCTGTTCTCATCCTTCCAGGTACTGGAAACTGGATCCCAGCAAAGTATACTCCACCAGTCCCAATGCTTGGGACACGGCCGTACACGATGCCTCGGAGGAGTACAAGCACCGAATGGTAGGACTCGGGTGATGAAGTCCTGTCTGTGCGTGGAGGAATATTTCCCCAGAGTTTGGGTCCTTGCTGCAGGAGTGGGACCCGTGGCTCTGCACCAGCACAGGGTGTGGAACTGGGGAGCCTCGAGACCAAGATTCCTAATCCCCTGCCCCTTTTTCTGTTCCAGCACAACCTTTGCTGTGATAACTGCCATTCTCATGTGGCTCTGGCCTTAAACTTGATGAAATATGATAACAGCACCTCCTGGAACATGGTGAAGCTCTGCTTCTTCTCACTCCTGTATGGGAAGTATGTAAGGTGAGCTGAGGAGCAGTCTAGATTCAGCAGGAAAAGGGGCTTTTTATTCGTTTTCCCTATCCCTCTAAAGCTTCAGCCTGTCCTGTGGAGAAGGGAGAAACATCTCTCCCACAACATGTGGGTGTATGTTGCTGGTAGGTGGTATTGTCACTGCCTGCTGCCTGTTCTTAAGAAAAGAACCGAGAGTGCTTGGTGGGTTGCCCTAGATGCTGCTCCCAAAATACTGTATCTGGCAGCTAATTTAGGGTGCCTGGAATTTGGGAAATGCTAGCTGAAGCAAATTGTGCTCTGTGTTGTCTTGTGGCTGGGTTAGGTCAGAACATAAGGTCACAGAATGGCTTGTCTCCAAAGATTACTGGTTTATCTTCCCTCTCTTGAATCTTGTTTACATGCAAGACAAACTAATCAGATTTCCCACTGCTGTGGAGCTTCCAGTTTTAGTGGAGAGGGAAACCCTGAGCTTCCCTTACTAGAAAGGGCACTTAATCTCCATTTCAGCTCCTTGTGCCTGAAGAGGAGATTCTATGAGGAATGCCCTGCATAAAGCTTCTGAGTTGCTCCACTTATGTTGGGTCTTTCCCGTTCTGGAAAACAGCTCTCTACCAGGTTTAGTCCCTGTCATCCAGTTTTAGACAGGTTTAGTCCCTGTCATCGTGGTTTAAATACGGCAACAGTCTGAATAATGAGGCCTGCAGCAACAGGGTTTCATTTTTTTTGTGGTCTCCTGTCACCGCTCCTGTCTGTGCAGGTCTGCAACATGCTAGTCTTTGACCTGAATTTAAGCTGGAAGGAGAATCCAGCCCTGTTGTTCATTATATAATTATTCATGGACCTGATTTAGTCTCAATTTTTATCACTGACTGAATCTCCAGAAAGTGATGTGTGACAGTGCCAGCAATGGATAAGAAAGTCAGAAGGGCATCTGTCTCCCTCTGATTTCTCCAGTTATTCTTGCATCCTTCTCTCCCTTTTGTCTTTCTCTGCTGATTTCTTTAAAACCTTCCCATTTTTTCCGTTTTGCAGCATAGGGGGATTTGTGAAGACCTGGCTTCCTTTTGTCCTCTTCTTGGGGCTGATCGTGACCGTTGTTCTCACACTTCATTTGCGGTGATGGCAGTTGTGAAATCCCCGTTCTGGGCACACGAAGGAGGAAACTGTGACTGATCCAGCGGGATGGAGGCATGGGACTCTGGGAGGAGTTTTCCAGGGAAGGTGGCAACTCTACTCCATTGTAACAGCTCATCTTTGTTTCCTGGAACTGGCTTCTTTTCCTTCTGTTTTTGTTCTGTCGGTGGTGTCTCCCAGTGTCAGGGGTCTTGAAGCCTCCTGCTCTCTCCCTGAATATGCTCCCTCTCTGCAGTTTGGTAGGTAGACGCGCGATCAGGAAAGGAGAGGTGTCGCACCTTTCCTCTCAGTGCCAAGTAAAAAGCCTCAAGGAGCACAAGCAGATAACACCTTGTAAGGTTCTCTCTGATCACCTCGTTTCTTCCTCTTGGCAGACTTCATCAGATGCTTCCTCAGATTTCCTGAGTCTCCAAGAAGTTGCTCTTTCCCCGTTGGACGACTCTCCCATAGCACATGTTTCACAGTGGAGGTGTGGGGTTCCTCCTGGGGACGTAGAGTGCCACAGCACTCCCTGACAGTCTCCCCAGTAGCGACGGAAAGGTGTTGACGGTGCAACACTCCTCTTGAGGAGACACGCAGAGGAACGCTCTGTGGCAGGGCAGATTCATCTGGTCCTGCTGGTGAGCCCAGAAAGGCAGGAAAGGCCATCGTCTGGTTTGGGGATGGCTCATGGCAGTCTGCACACTTTCAACAGTCTGTTGCAGAGTTGGGAGTCTACTGCTAAGTCCCTTTTAGCTTGTGCCAGAAAAAATAGAGCTTCCCTGCTTCTCCTTGTGCTCTGAATATCTAAAACTGTCGTTAAACTTCTCATGAGCCACTCACTTTCTTTTGATCCCTAATACTTTGTGTGTCGCAGCGTACGTGAGCCTGCAGAGGTGGCAGCAGCAGGAGGAACATGTTTCTGGGGCAGAAGGCTTAATGTAGGGGTTTGAAAGCATCCATGAGTGCAGCTCCTGAGACCTGAGTTTAGTAGGGCCATCAGAGATTAAAAGAAAAGGTGAAGGGACTGGAAAGCATCCATGTTCTGGTTGGGCTTTGCAGCAGCAAATGGATGCTGGCTTTCTTGAAGCTGGTTCTGGGATGGTACACAAGGTCTGTTTATTTCTTTGGTGTGCTTTGAAGAGCACACCTGGGGTAAAAGCGCTTTGCAGGACTGGTTTAGGTGTGAGAAATGCTGGTCTGGCAGCGTTGGTGGGCTTGGTGGCCCCTTTGAGCCCTGAATCGGGCAGGACGGGTAGTAGGGGGTAGGTTGTTCTTGAGTGCTAGGCAGGAAGTGAATTTGGACATGACCCAGAGCCTCTTCCAGGTTGAGAGGTCCAGGTCTGTGTTTGCTGAGGCTCTGGCCTCCAGATGCTGCTTTCTGTGGGGCTCTGAGCCAGGGGCTTCTTTAAAAACTGTGGCTGAAGGGTTGTGTGCAGTTGAGCAGATCCCCTCTGACTGCAGCGGAAGATGAGAGTAGCTTTTCCACTCACGCCTTGAAAAACCAGCTCTTTACTCCACAACCTGATGGATTTCAACCTGCTTGTGGCCAGCAAGAAAGCTCTTCTCGACTACCTGCCATCTCTGTGGCTCCTTCTGACTGGGAAGCCCCTTCGCTGTCACCCCACTGGCTCTCAGGCCTGTCCCCGTGTGCCTTTCCATCCGCTTCCATCTCCAACTCCTCTAGCCATGTGGGAGGTGTGGGGACTCCTCTTGGGCTTCTCGATTTCTGCGGTTCCTCCTTTTCCTCAGTCACTTTTAAATAACTCCTTTAACCTCTCCCTTCTCCTAGTGTCCAGTTGTCTTTGTCATCTGGTTTTCTCCTTTCTGGGAGGGGGCAGGGGGGAACTGCACAGACCTCGGTGCCCTTCCACGCCTACCTGGGACTGAAATAGTCGGTGTCTGCTCTGTACAGTCATCTCGAGCCGGTGTGGAGAGCAGGCTGGAGGCTGCTGGGCCTGGGGCTGATTAGAAAGCCACAATCTTGATCAAAGAGAACCTTACGATGAAAGGATGGTGTCTTACCGAGCTACCCTGTGTTGCTGCAGTCTCCGCCCAGCGAGCCTGCTGGCTAACGTGCCCTAGGACAAGCCAGCTGAACAGGAGAGATTAATCCTTTGCCTCTGTTTTTAATTTAAGTATGATTTCTCGGAGTGACCCGCCAAGGATGCGCTGGGAGTCCCTGGCCCCAGGGCTGAAGCCAACCTGTCTTACGCAGTAGCAATAACCTAGAGACTCTTAGGCCTGTCTCACACGTTGATTCAGTGTTTTATCGACAAGCTATACAAGCGTTGCCAAAGCTGAGACTTCAAGTTGTCGGGAGAGGCCAGGAGCGGGGCTGCTGGCCACAGTCACTGCTCCTGGGACTTCTGAACACATGTTGAGTGCCATTTCCCACCGTGAAAATCCTCGTCGTTTGCTCCTAACGCTTTTGACCGCATCTGGGTTTTGGATAGAGACTTACTGTGAGCAGCAAACGAGATTTGTAGTGGGTCGGAGTGCTGGCTGAACAACCCACCTGCTTCCACCGACGGGGACGGGGGGTGGCTCCGGGCTTCCAAAGGAAACGTGGCCAAGGGAAGAGCAAGGCCCAAAGCTGAGGTACGGCCGGGCCAGCCCCCCGGTCCCTGCTGGCCACGCCAGCCTGCCTGTACTCCCACAACACGGGACGCTGCCCGCAGCGGTTGGATGCTGGGAGAGGCGAGTGGTCTGCTCAGAGTTAACAGTTTTCCTACGCTGTGGGAGCGTCAGACCAGCGCCGTGGGGAGCGGAGGAGCCCCGGCGTGGGGTCCCCGTGGTGCTGCAGCCATCAGCTGTGGGTGGGCGGGGAGTGGGCTGCTTCCTCTGGGCACGGGAGGTGGCAGAAGGGGTGGGTGGGGAAGGAATGTCCTCTCCTTGCAGCTTCTTTCATCTCACTACCGCCTTCGCAGTGCCCGCTTCGACTGGCCACATCAAAGGTTCACCCCATCTTTCACCTTCCAGATGCCAGTTTTGTGCTCCCCTCCTCTCCCCCGTGCACGTGCTTGTGCTGCAGAGCTCAGTGCTGCTGCTCTCCGGCGAGGGCGAGCCCTCCGTACCCTCATCCTTTGTTCTCTTCATCTCTGTGGGGCGCTGGATTACTTTGTAAATATTTAAACTCTGCTTCTGTGGTTTCATAATCCTGACGGTAGGGGAAATAAACTTATTTCTGTGGATGTCTCCAAGCGCAGCAGCATCTCTTATAGTCGAGACTCTTTCTTTCCTCCTTCCAGCCAGGAGCTGGGTTGGTATTCGCTCTGGCCCCTCTCCTGCCCGCAGGCAGCATGTCTGCCAGCCCGAAGGAGATGGACCCCAAAGCTCCCACGCTTTTTACTTTATGAATTTGCCCTTTGCTCTGCTCCAGGGCAAAACTCACAGCCCTGTTTTCAGACCTGCTGCTGGGAAGGGGGTGTTTTGGGGGCAGAGAAACCCGGTCGCTGCAGCGTGGGAAGCGTTTGCAGGGTCTCAAAGGCAGGGACCTGCCACTGGCCTTTGTTATGTTTGGGGGGAGAAGGGGCTCTGCCTGCTCTTGCTCTTTGCTGATCCTCAGCCTCTGCCCCAGGCAGCCGTAGCCTACTCTGGGGGGGATGATGCTTTTTTAGATGCTCAGCCCCCTCTTGCAGGTTGATCCCCTTTAGCTGTGAATAGTTTCCCTTTTCCTTGAGTCTCTGATGTCTGTTTTCTTGGAGGCTGGGGGCATTGGCCTCCCAGCTCCTTTTCCCTGCTAGCACAGAGCCCCCCATCTTCCATCTTCCTGCAGGCTCTTGGGGAGGGGACGCATGTGCTGGGCCTGGGGCTGCTGGGAGCTACTGAGGAGCGGGGAGCAGGGCGGGATGGGAAGAGTTGGCTTCGTTTTCCCCTCTCCCAGCAGGGTACCACTGCCTGAACTGGGAGCGAGGGGCGCTGGGGCTCTGAGCGCTGTCACCATTGCTAATGCAGCGGCTGATTTTCTGTTACATCCGATATCCAGAGGCCAAAGCTGCACCGTGGGGGAGGTAGATCAGCCTGAAAATTAGCTTGTGTACAAGGCTCAGGGATTTAACAGCGCAGCCATCTTACAAAAAAACCACCTGGATCCTCTCCTGCGCAGCCCCTCGAGCCAAACGACGCTGCTCCTGCGGATGCGTTAACTCCAGCCCCTGCTTTGGCTCCGGGGCTGCAAATTGGCAGCGCTGGGGCTGCCGAGCAGCCTCTGAGGGGTTTGTCCTCCACCCCTCTGTCGCTGAAACAGGAGGTGAGGATGCAGAACCCCCCCCAGGAACATGTTCTGCCCAGCCTGCGTGGTTCTGTGCTGCTGTAACCATCCCGCTGGCTCCCTCCTCGCCTCCTGAGCATGGCAGGGTTTTTCTAACCCACTTCTGCTGCCCAGGGAGCTGCGGGGACTCGGGCGGGAGGTGCGTGGGAGCTGAGCCGCACGATTCGGGTCATGGTATTGGGGGATTAGATGGAAGCAGCTGGTCTGAATGTGCCAAGATAGTCACACTCGGGTGCCCAGGGTGATCACAGCCCTCCGGCCGTGGCAGGAGGCTGGACTGTACAAGCCGTGCTCTGCGCATTTTTTCCTCCTCTCAGCATGGCCAGCCCAGCCCGAGGAGGGTCGGAGGCTGCTGGGAGCCAGAGAGGCTACAAAGCAGAGTGGCAGGATCCATCCCAACCTGGCGAAGGGCCTGAACTGAATCATCAGAGGGACTTCGCTGCCTCCCCCGCCTCTGCCCTCACCCGGGATGGCCAAGCGTGACCAACCCACCCCACCCCTGGCCACAATGCTGGGGCTTCAGCACAGGGAGCGGGGCTGGGGGTCCCCTCCCCGTGGGGATGGGGGAGCGGACACGGGGCTGGCGTGGAGCCGCCTTTGAAGCGGGGTCACTTTGCTGCAGCTGGCCGGAGGGGAAGGGGCCCCTGTTTCTCATCCCCTTAGCAGGGTGGGGGGGCACATCAAAGGGCTCCCTGGGGAGCGATATCAAATTGCATTTGAGCATTTGCACGGTGGAAGCTTTTGAAGACGCCAGCGGTGGTGGCTGGACTGCCTGTGGCCGTGGCCCATCGAGGCTGTGCTGCCTCCGAGGCTGCGGCTCCCTCCTCATCTTCGGCCACCCCGTCATCTTCCACGTTGTCTCCCAGGCAGGAGAGGGGAAGGGGGTGAAAGAGAGAGCCAGCATTGGGGGTCTTGATGTCTGCAGGCCTTGCACATCATCCCCATCCAGAGCGGAAGATGGAAATGTCATGAGGTCTCTAATACAGGGATTAAAAATTTTAAAAAATTAAAAATGAAGGGGGGGGGGGTACCTCCCTGCGTGCCCAGGGAGCGCTCGAGCGGCACATCAAAGGCACTGGGAGGGCAGAGGGCACAGGGAGGCGAGTCCCTGGGAGGGGGGACATGGCCAGATGGCCCCATCACTGAGGGGGCGACACATGGGGGTGTAAAGGTGATGGCAGAAAGGGCGGGGGGAGGCGGTTGGGTCTGGGGGTGTGTCTGTGAAAGCCCCCCACCTCGGTTTGCAGAGATGTTTGTGTCGTGCAGCCTGTGGGGGGATTTAACATCTCCTGCCCCAACGAGCTCCATGCATCAGGACAAAGCCTTCAGTGTTCCCAGGGGAGGGACCCCCACCCCTCCCAGCCTTCTCCCCACCACTGTTGGGGGGGTCAGCACCTCCTGGCTGGGGGGATGCGGGCTGGGTCAGTCCAAGACCCCGGTCCCTCCAGAGATGCTCTTGGCAACTGGAGGCCTGGAGCTCAGCTCCCACAGGAGCCTTCACGGCCCCCCTTTCCCT